TGAATAATTTGTGCAAAAAAGCACTGCAAAGTGTAATAAAGTAGAATAAAGTCGAGGAAAGTGCAACAAAGTAGAATGAAGTAGAGTAAATTGCAATTTAGTGCAGCAAAGTTGAGTAAAGTGCAATAAAGTGCAATAAAATTTGCTATAGTACACCAAAGTACTGTAATTGCAATTAATTGCAATAAAGTTTAGCCAAATTGCAATGAAATGCAATGAGTAGAGAGGAGCCCTCACCCCTTGGTTACAGACATACTGCAATCCAATAACATTTAATAACCAAGACACAAAGTTAAAATAACAACTCTGAATTAAAGTGTTTTGCATTTGACTTTGCTAAGTTTTTTTTAATAAGCTGAATGTATCTCTTGTTTTTGTTTTATATCGCTTAAGTTGCTCTATAACATTTTGATAGAGCAATAATGGATTACATTACAGCATAACACCCGAGTGGACAAAGTACTAGTTAAAAGCTTGCCATTGACATGCCTTTTCACGGCGAGTAAGTATCCATTGACGTGCCTTTGCAACTAGACTTAGGGACGACTAATGACATATTTTGCGCTTTCCATTTAACTGGACATAGGAATTGCAAATATGTCTAGTTAATGTCCAGTTACAAAAAAATCGAAATAAAATAAATAACACGTGTCTTTTTATCCATATTTTTTTCTTTTGTAAAATTTTATTATTGTATTAGTGTAATTAATTAATTAAAGTACACTATCACTTATGAAAAATCTCTAGTAAAAATTGAGTCTCGAACACTTGCGCGTGAAACAATTATATTTACTTAAAAGTTTCATACAAATTTTGGTGGACCTTATATAAGTGATTTCTGTAAGCGCTTGTGAAGTATATGGTCAAAAAAGTAAGGAAAATTATTTTTGAGTTTCGAACACTCTATTGATTAGCATGAATGTCCAGTTAAAGTCTAGTTAACGTATACTTCTCTATATCGTATATATTTCGACCAGTTAAAAGACTGTTAAATGATTGTCCAATAATGGACTTTAACTGGCTGTGTCCACCCGGGACACTGTAACTTCTAATAAACAACTAAACGTTCATTTTATTAAATGTGAAACCATGAAATCTGTCAAATGACATTTAGTGTATGATTTATTGCACATGCCTTTTATTTTGAGCCTCACTATGTTAAGTGAATTAAACGATTTGATGCAATGAGCTCAATATCTTTAAAGTATTTTAAATATATCAAAATTAAGTTTATAACTGTTGCTAGGTATTTATAATGAATTTAATTGTGTAGCCATCTCAGAAAATGTTGTAAATTTATCATTTCAAAAATTAGGTCGTGTGACACGCGATATAGAAAAAAAAAACAATCTTGCTGTTGGGAAATGTGTTTGCTCCTTGTAAGACAAGCAGTTAGCCACATTTTTTTCGTGTTAAATAATATTAATGATTTAATTGATTTTCAATTAATACTCATTTTTTTTCTTTCATGCAAAAGCTTTATTCTGAAATGAGTAGAGGTGGTTCGGTCAGTAAATTTATACATCGATTTTATTCTGAAAACTAAATTTGAATGCACTTCTTTAAATCACAGAATTTAATGAATTTAAAAATGAGAAATTTTTACAATTCAAAGTAGACAAATAAGAAACTTACAATTATTTTTTAAACGTACCTCCAAAGAGTTTAATTCATTAATGTATGTAAAGCTCGGAGCAAGATATTTATTATTGCGAGATATTTTGAATATTCAAAGCAAATTAATTTCGTGCAAGTATGCTAATTTCATGTTTTTGCAGGCAACATGATGTTTTTGAATAGCAAAATCCTATGCTCTCATGTATTTACAGCTCATTATCGTTAGTATGCAATCGCAAGTTTTAAATGAATGAAAAAAGAAATGCTTAAAGTTCATTTAAATCTTCAACAAATTTGTTCAAACATAAAATTTATTTAATGAACTTGATATTTAAGTCATTTTAATGAAAGTGAAAATTATTTAAAGCCGTTGGAAACTTGGATTAGCATGGTTACCTCAAAAAAAAATACATGACTTTTCAATTTGCCACCTAAAATTGTATTTAAAATGCTGTTAATGAATTTCTTTTTGCTATGAAGCACGTCATTTAAGAACATAAATTTTTTTCCATTCTTTTGATTCTTTTCATACCTACTTTTATCAGACGTTTATTTTCTATTGTTTAGCTTAAAAAATGTGTGAAAATCATTGTGGCAAATTCCATTATTTTTAAATGACATTCTTCTTAAAACTGTTAGACATTTTATGGCTTAAAGATTTATTAAAACTCAAAAGCTTTTCATTTAAGTTGTTGTTGTCAGAAATGTATCGTATATTCAGAAGAAAATTCTTTGATCGAAATTTTAGTTCAGATTAAGTTTAACCTTCCTCATGAGTCAAGTCTGATAACGAAGAAAGAAAATAAATGAATGGCAAATGAAAAATGAGAGAAGATGGCACTTTTTTATGTGTCGATTTTGAAGAGAAAAAAGTGAGAGATAGAAAGGAAGTAAGAAAGAATGAAAAGCAGCAGAAAGACTAAGAATACATGTCTCTTTTACCTCTCCACATATCACAAAGAAGTGTTGCCATATATAAGGCAATCAAATAAATATATTTTTCCTTCCCTTCTATGTGTCCATCAACACACAATTGCACATTTTTTCTATAACTTTTAATGATGTATTTTATGTATGTATAATGATATTAAGTATGAGTGTGTAATATGCACCACAGAAGGAAAAACAGCTAAGAAACTGCTCAATCATCTTAGTGCAAATATAATGTGTTTTCGATCTAGATAAAGCGCACGTTCCCAGTAAAAAATGATTTTTGAGTACGTGACAGAATGAAATGAATAATTGTCTATTCCAAAAATTGATAGGATGTGTTGAGTTTCGATATTTGAAAAATGATATTTCAACATCAAAATTATATACTTTTGTATTAGACTCAATATGCATAAATTCCTTATCGGGTGATGAAGCAATAAAAAATCACAGCTTAAATTTTTAAGTATGGTTTCCTAGCTTAACTATCAATAGCAATAAGTCCCTGATTTGTCTGTCCATTTAGATTTCTTTTATTTCAATCCTCCAGCAATCTTAAAGTTGAGGATCAATCAATTGGTTTAGCTTAGTATCAAGAGTCGGTTTTTAGGGTTTCGGGAGTACCTCATATGCGCGTTAGTCTCACTATTTTATGAGACTTTTAAGCTTACTAAACTTTTTCATATGATAAACGAGCAGACTCACATCTCTTTGTCTTACTGCAGTCAGTCTAAATAAATTTTTAAAAATTATTCCTTATGTATAAATGTGACAAATAATTTATATTTTAACTATCTGTTAAAAGTATTTAACTACTCTAAACTTGACGGAGGTCAATCGGAAATTTGATCATGTTGATCATTAAATGATGTGTGTGAGAAAACAGCAAAAAAAAGAAAATAAAAATAATGGCAATAAAAAGCAAGCAATGAAATGACAATAATTTGCTTGACGACTCTCTTATGCGACACTACTCGACTTTTACAGCCATATGAGGAGAAGAAATTGAACATTTTTATCATGATAAATTCAGTCGATATGGAAATACTTTAAAGAAGATTAAATGACTCATTTTATTGAAAAAAAAAAATCAGAGAGGAAACTCCTCTAGATGAAAAAAAATTTCCTGTTCTAAAAGGAGCACTTGCTCTACAATTAGAAATTTCAATGATTATTTTTCATTTCATTGAAGTCTTTTGTCTTGTTCCAAAAAAGTTCATATCCAATTGCTACTGGAATTACCACTGAATTTCACAATGGATGCAAATTTTTCCAGCATTACTCATATTTTTTTTTATGAATCAAGAGTGGAAGAAGAGTTGAATTAAGATAGAGAATAGTCACTCATTACTCACTTGATATATATGTTACATGTATATTTTCATCAGTTTTTTCTACCACTGTCTCTCAATAATAAAATGCTCTGTTGTTGCCTATTCTGTTTATACATTTTCATTCTTTCTTTGCTTGTGCTTTAATATTTTTTAAATACGGAGCTCCGATGTATAAAAAAAAAGAAATAAAAAACAACAACTTATATATCGGAGCCTCTGCTATACATGTATATTGTAGAGCGTAATACTCTCGCTGGTAACATTTTTTTCTTTTTTTTTTTTTTGTTAAGTGACTCTACTTGTAAAGTCAGTTTCATTCAAGTATTGGCTTGCTTAACAGCAGTACAATTTATATTTTTTTGTAATAATTTTTTTTTTCGTTCTCTTCGCTTGTGAATTTCGCGAAATATTATATATATTTTTTTTTCTTTCGCATTTCGTTCTTCGGTTCTGTGAGATGCTTTTTTGAGTGAAGGAACAGAGAAAAAAATTACGCTCCTCTTGAGTGAAAAAAAAAACTTATTTTTATATCGCGGCGTTATCGAGAAAGAAAGGCTCTTCTTGCTTGAAAACAAAAATTTTGTGTGCTGTGTGTTTTGTTGACGTTTAGTTTGAATTTTTTTACCGATTTTTTTTTTTTCGTGGCTGTTCTGGAATGTTTCCCTTTCTTCATCTTGTCCCGTTTTCGTCTTTTTCGCATTGCAAAGGAAAAGAAAAAAATGCTGCTGCTGTTATCGATTAAATTTATTGCACAACAGAAGAAAAAAAGTGGTGTATAAATTCAGAGAGCCATCATCTGCGTATAATGCTTTTGTGAAATCAATATGATGGTTTGAGGCATATGATTGAATGTTTCATTGACTTTTCTGACGGGTGGACGTGAAGTAGCAGCGAAATAATAATAAAAGAGACGAAAGATTTTTTTGTTTGAATTTGTGCTTTATTCTTTTTTTCTTGGATTAATTCAGTTTTGTTGTCCAATTAATAATTTCTTGGATGTGTTAAAAATTACATAAATACAGTTTTGTGATTTATTGGTGATAAGATATGTCAAAGAAAGAAGCTAAAAAATTAAATTAATGAAAAAAATTTTAATTAATTTTAAAATGTTGTTAAAAAAATTAAATGAAATATTAATAATATTATAACACATATATGAGTATTGTTCTTTAAAGGAAAAGCTAGTTGTTAAAAAATTAAAATCAGTGCTGAACATAAATACTGTGATTAAACGTATGCCGGAATTTAAAATGCTTGCAAGAGAATAAGAAATTAAAATATAAATTTTGCATGTAAGTAAATACTATCATGACAAGACTTTACATTCTGTTCCACTTCAGTGATAAAGCGTGAGAAAGTACTGATGATTTAATTATCATACCAATGATTTTTAAAGTTCATTCTTTTATGGCTGCAAAAAAAAGGATATATTTTTATTGAAAATAACATCAGCATTTTGGTTCCTCCATTTCTTAAAAGGTACAAACCTCTAATGATGAACCTTGAAAATAATTGATTAATTTTGAAACTCTTATCAATTTTCTTTATTTTTGTAAACTTAATTTGCCACTTAATTTAAATTGATTCCGAAAAAGTGAATCCTTTCGAGAATATAAATTAACATGCAATTTTACAAAATATGAATCAGCTTACTCGTTCACTTATCATAACATTTCTCTTTATTGGAACTGAGGTTGTCTAGCAGTTCAATCAAAGAAAATCTTCATTTATTAATTATTAAAGACTAGGTTTCATTAAAATTTAAACAAAAACTTACATATTTTGCTGACCAGAACTTATTTGATTAAAATTTACTCCTTAACTCAAGAACATAATTTAATTTTTTGCTCTTAAATTTGACACAGTTTTACTGAAATCATGTAAATCTACCAAAGAGCAGCAGAGAAAAATATGATGTAAATTTTTCACGATGTCACTTTCATGAAAACTGTTAAAGTTATTCTCTTCAATCAATCAATCTTTTGAATTTCCATCGTGTGAGGCATATACATATTAAAGAAAGTTGATTGATGAAAAAAATTATAAAGAAAAAAATGTGGTCCACAAAAAGAGAGAAAATTGTTAATTCATGGACGAAAGGAATTTTAGCAAATCGTTTTTAAAAAGAGAGGAAAGATTTTTCAAATTCTTGTATAATGTGTAGTGCATAAATAATCGATAATTGCATAATTTTGAAGTGCAATCGCCAATAAAATAAAAGGAAAATAAACTTTTTTGATTTGTCTCGCGGGTTGTCAATCGTAAAATATTTTCAGTTTTTGTTATGTGGAAGTATTTTTATAGCCCATGAAAATGGGCTTAATAAATAAATTATATATGGAGTGAAAATGAATATGTTTTGGGGGCAAATGACGGCTGCTGGCTAATGGTAAAGAAGAACAGATGCATGATTGAAAATTATTAAAACAATTTTTTCCTCATCATGTACATATCGATTTTACCGGTAGAGTTTCGATGAATTATTATTATTGTTATTTTTCGTTGGGTCGTTCATTTATGATGTGTACATGTGGAGTTTGAAAATTTGAACAGTAAAATCTTTTTATTTAAAAGCACACCGATTGTCTACATAAGTTACATCCTTTGTGAAAAAATGTCCTTTTACTGACCTAAAATTTTCCAGTAAAAGGATTCATCAGGAATATTGTGCAACACAATTTTCAACATCACCAAACCTTACTTTCGATCGTCCTATGTTGAAAAAAAAGAAACAATAAGTAAATAGCTTACTTTAGAAATTGCTGTGGATATAGATCACTTGACGGCGCATGCGAAAAATTAGATTTATGACCGAGATTAATGATTAAAGTAACAATTTTTTTCTCATACGCTAATATCTCCAATTTAATAATTTTATGTCTATTTCAACACAATAATAATCGAATCATCGAATGTAGGTTCAAGTAGAGAAAAAAATATCTTAAAAGATTTACCGTGAAGAAAAAATAGCATAAAGAAGAATATTGAGAGAAAAATTGATCACAAAAGGAATCTAGCACGCGGCAGATTGCGTACAAAAAGGCAATCATTGTTCGTTATGTGGCAAAAGGTAGTAATAAGAAATCAACGATCGTTTATATGGTCACGATAATTGAATCAATTATTTAATTAAATTGTAGATTTTCTATTATCTATCATCTCATTGCCATTACCATCGCAAGTCATTGGCATTCTTAACGCACTTTTTTAAGACGTTTAAGCCGTTATTTCGACTGCTTTGTCCTTTTTGAATGTCATCTTTCTAAGGCATTAAAATTCAATCAAGTCTTTAAAAAATAAGTTTTTATTTAAAAATAATATTCATTTTGATTCTATTTAAAAAACGCGCTATAAATATTTGCTACTGTTACTTGCTTACTTAAAAATTTCAAGTAGGTAACACATACATGTGAGAAAAAAATGTTCATGTGACGATAATTATGATGATTGGTTTAATAATAAGAATATAAAACAAAAGCTTGATGTACCGAAAATATTCAAGTCATTAACCTTTCTTTAATTTTAATTGATTATTGTAGCTTGAACATATTCAAATTCTTCAATTTAGTGCTTATAAATGGGATGTCCGAAAACGTAGCCCAATTTTCCCTTTTCTTGTTACCTCAATGATCAGTGAAGATTTCACTTTATAACTTGCATATTCAAATGTTTAACAAATGAAAAATTCCCACTGTCGTTGAATGACTCAAAAAAAGTCACGGAAATTCCATTCGTATTTCATTTTTGCATTTGGTATGTCTTGGCTTTAAATTCGTTTTATAGAATTTAGCGTGAATTTTGTGCAATAATGATGGTTTTTGAAAACGGTACATAGGATTTAGCGAATATTGTCATATACCTAATAAAAAATCAAATTTCTAGACTTAAGAATCAATTAAGAGATTATTGTCTTCTTTGTGTGTTATAATGTGCCGTTGTGCTTTACATTTTCTCTCCATTTCATATATAAGATTTTCTGCTGTGCTGCTGCTTATTTTTTTTTTGCTCATCCAACAAAAAGATCGTGCCTTAAGCATTTTCTTGATTCATGAGACGATAGAAATGAATGCAATAAAGAGCTCACAACGGAAGTTATCAAAAACCGCCAGCTGGCTGCTTATGTCTCATATTACATTAGTTCTTTTATATTATTTTCTCTTCTTCACTTTCCTGACCACATCCTTTTGTCCATCTATTAAGAAATAAAATTAAAAATCATATATGAATGCAAAAATTAACAAAAAAAAAAAAAAATAAGAAGGAACTGAATGTGAGAGAAATAAAAATTTTAGAACGGTCGAATTTTTAATTACGTTCCGTTCGCAAAAGACACAACATATTTGCATGCAATATTCTTTCTGTTCTTAACTTTCCGATGACATTTTAATTTCTAAAAGTTTTAAAAAGTTCCAAATTCAAGTTCATTGCAATTACCCAAGAACAGCATTTTAAATCCTTAAAAAGTTGACAACTATTGTTCAATTTAAGTAATAAGTTAAATATAAATTAAATCGATCAAAAATTGAATTTCTTCTTTACTTATATGAATTTCTGACCGGAATATCACATTGATTTAGACTTTAATCTTACTCAAATTAGATGTCGTAAATGCACGACCTTATGGGTTCTTTATAGCGTTTTTTCTAAAGTGCATTAATTTCTTAAATTTGATAAAACAATGTCCTTAACTCCTTTGAAAAGCTTATTTGATTCCTTTTTAATAAAACAGAACGTGTATGGAAGTTTTTAATACGAAAATCATGAAACAAAAAAAAAGAATCATTTTTCATTCCATTATTCATGAATCACGTCCTCACTTTATTTTATGAGACACTTCATTTTTGCATTTTCGAGGTCTCCAATGTAATGCAATCTCAATTTCTCGCATTATATACTAAAATAATTTTTATATCCTCTCAATATCTTTACTGTACTCTCTCGTACCTATATAGGTATCAAGTTGAATGATTTCGATACGCATAAATCGAAATAAGAAAGAACAAGAAGAGGGAAAAAAATTGCCAGAAAAAAATTATGTTTTTAACATCATGCTGCTAATTTCCTCACATTATCTCTCCAAGCTAATCTTCATTTGCTACAACTCAACCACTCAACGTATAATGTAGGAAGTGTTAAAAAAATTTATAAACTCTTTTTGCCTTCTTCATAACATTAAAATGTTTTATACATATATAAATATATATGAAAGAGATATATGTAAAAGGAAGAGAAATAAAAGGTAATGAAAAAAGTATCGACAACAACGACGATCGATGTGCTTTGCGACATTAAGTTACAGAGACAGACATGAAAGAGAAAAAAGAAAAGAATGAAAAAAAAAATTGAAATACACACGGCACAATTCGCATAATAAAAGTGATGAAAATTTCTTTCGCTCTTCTTAACCGTTCATGCAATTGTTGTTGTTGTTGTTATTATTTTTATTATTATTATTATTATTATTTTTGTTGTTGATTCTTTTCTTTTTGTTGTTGCAAACAAAAACGCAAAGTAAAATGAGCATGAAAAAATGTGCTATGCTATTAAATGCCATTAAAACTAATTGAACAGTCATTTTATTAGCTTAAGAGATTGATTGGAATTCTTCCCTCCTGTAATCATCAACTTATTCCTCCCTTTTTTCTGTTTGATGTGAATTTTCTGATAAAATGCTAGCTTGTCATCACTTTGGTTGGCATAGTTAGTAGTTAATTGAAAAATAAAAGCTAAATACTTTAGTTTTTCCAAGACTTCATAAGTGAACAACCCCTGATACTTCAGTTTCCAAATATGCACTCTATTCACCGCTAAATGCTGACTTTTTGACTAGCTTCCTTTACTCTTGCACATATATATGTTGGATATTTTCTTTTTACTCCCCATATTGCTGATATGTGATACGCACTACTGCTACTTCTACTTTTGCTCTTTCCCATCATCATCATCATCATCAGCTCACTGACGTCACTAATTGCAATTTCTTGTTCTCATTTCGGTTTGCAGTATCTTATATACTTTTTTCATTTTTCATTCCTCTTTCTCTCTCTGTCTCTCTCATTTCAGAACATGCATGAGGATTCATCAAAACGAGTTTTATGAGAAGGAAATTCGATTAGAAACATGAAACTTTTAAACGGTTAAAGATTTTTTTATCCATACTTTTTGTGCTTTGTTATTAACATCAGTAACAGCGAAAAGAAAAATCTCTTGTGTATGAGTGTGTATGGACTTTATCTACACGGATATAAAGTGAGAGGTGATCTCATCTAAATGTGATTGCACTCTATTATTATTATTTGCACAGTTTTACTACTCTCTTGCTATATATAAAAAAAAAATTACTTTAAAATTTATGGTGTTGTATAGAAAAGGGAAAAAGAGAAAATAGAACAGATTAATCAATCAATATAAGAATAAAGGGAGCAAAGAATTGAATAGTTTTAAGATAGTCATGCAACAGACAACAAACGTCATGACTACAGTCATAAATCAAGAACAAAGTGACTTGGTGACGTCAGCCACATTGTCAACATCATCTGTTCAAAAGGATTCCATTAAAAATGGCAAAACAGTATTGATTGCAAATAATACAACAAGTATAAATAAAAGCAAAATTACAGCTATCATTAGTAATAAATCGAATAGTAATAAAAATAATAACAATAGCACAACAACCAATAAAAATAGTAGTAATACAAATGTCACTTCGAAAACGCAAGTTTCAAATGGTCGAAGTGAAATTATTGTTACAAACTTACAACATAAATCAGCTCCTGCACCTACGATCTCGCAATTAGCATCAAATGCATCATCAGAGGCAAATAGTGGAAAATCGTCGTCAGTCACAACAAATGCATCACTACCCGATGCCAGACAAGTACTCAAAGAAGCTGTTGATGCAGTTGTCAATAGTTTTACAAAGCACACACAAGGCTATGGTAGAGGTGAGTACTAAAATTATTTAAAAATTTTTTCAATTAATTTACCAAAAACTTATGACAAATACTAATTCAAAAAATGATAAAATCTCTCAATAAAGCATTTCCTGATAAATTTATATTTTGTGAGCATCCTTCTACATATATATGTCAGTAAATGTTTGCAAAAATTTTTGAAGTTTCACACAGCTTCAGATTCTTATAATGATATTAATCCAATATTCTTGTCTTCTTATTTTCTTTTTTTCGGTTTTGAATGAAAAGAAGAAAATACGAAGAATAGAGAAAAAAAATTTCTCAGGCGATGATTCATAAATAAGCAACACAAAAAGAAGAAAAAAATTCAATCCGGTTTAATTTCTTTTTTCGTCTTATTTTGATCAATGAATTTGCCAATTTTAATATCAACCGAATGATTTTGATTTGTTTCGTAGATGTGGATATCATTTATCCAAATATTATCGAGTTAATTTAACGTTCAATATCGATTACAATTATTTTGCTACTTTAAATTAGTTTAGTGGTTTTTCATAATAATTCATTTCTGATTTCGTTTTTATTTATCGGTATTTATCCGTAGTCCGATTAAGAAGAATGTCCAAAAAATTTAAATAAAATGCGTAAAGTTTTTTCTCCATTCAAATGATCACGCATATTTAAAGTAAATGGTGTTGCGGTGTTTTAGATTTTCATCTCGTTAACTTCTTAAATACCTCCTGAAGCACATTTTGAATTCTGAATTGTTTCACACTGAATGAATTATTTTTTTTTTTAAAATATAAAATATGGATATAAGAGAAGAAATATTAAAAATAAATAAATAAGACTATTAAATTAACATGATCGTGGGTGCACGTCACAACAATAAAAGCAGCACATGTTTTCTTTTTATACTCATTAATTCTTTCCTTTTTCAACTATGAAAAGAATTATGACACTTTAACACATTTTGAGATCGTAGCCTATAGTTGGATATGAATTATTAACGCTCTGTTTTATAATTCGTTTGACAAGGTTTTGACATCACTTTGCTGACAAGCCTTTTCAATGATCTTAATCAATTACTTCAAAAATAGCTGAAGCACTCGAGTTCGTTTATACATATCCTATGTTCGGTCTACATCAATGTGAATTAGGATGAATCATTCTAACATTACTAATGCCCCCTACTAGTTCTTATCACCAATTTTATTTCCAATTTAGTAGTTGACATGCCATAACATGAAAATTTTCATCGTTTTTAACTCTTTATTATTATTATTTTATTTTGCATTTTTGACATCATCATCTTACGTCTGAATAAACAATTTGTTTCATTTCACCAACCATGAAAGATCTGAAGTACAATAAATTTCTTACGATAATAATTATTATGAATCACTAAGTATTTCACTATCAGAAACGGATAAATATACAAAGTGAAATTATCTTCAATCGCTGTTAATGGAAAAATGCTCGGAGCTATTCATTGCTTTGTATTTATTTCACATTATTTTACATCCTCAATTCTTACTGAAGCGGTTCACAAATACCTAAGAAATTATATTCATTATTGATTATTTAATTTAATTAAAGACTGTATAAGATTCTTAATCGATTTTCTGTGGAATGAAATTTAACTTTTGAAGGAAAAATAATAAAGTTAATAAGTAGATAAATACAACTTATAAATATGACACTATCAAAACAGAAATTTTTTAAAGGACAATTTTACTCTCCTTTACGGTATTTTTGGGAAAAAGAACCGAACTGAGCTGCACTTCAAATTCGACTGACCTGTTCTTATAATAACTAATAACTATAATCAAAACAGAAAGGCAAAAGAAATAAAATACAGTGAAGAAGCGAAAAGAAGCCACTTCCAAAGTCCTTAAATGTGCATAAGGAGAAGGAGAATAATGGGATGTCATCTAAGAACATCATTCAGTTCCATATATTTATACATTTATTTTAAATGAACTTCTTAATATTTCAACAAAATGGATCTCTTAAAAAGTATAAAAACAACAGAATATTTCCGTTGAATTGAGTACACATTTAATGAAAATTACGAAATTATGCAATAACAGGAAAATTAAAAAAAAAAATATGATGGATGCAGAGTACTTGATTGCTTGCAGCTATCGTACTTATTGCTTCTGTTAAAATCATCAATCCATTTGTATCAAATTGAATCTGAATGACTGTTACTGATATCATTTCAGAAAATACAAATACAAGTTCTAAAATACATACCATAAATTTAGTCCGTAAACACCAGAAGTTGAGCGGTTCGATATCAGTTTTTAGTCAACACTGAATAATCACAATCAGTTGTCATGTCATCCAAAATAAAAAGTTTAAAATTTAAGTAATTCTTAAGCAATATAAAATTTTTCTAATTAACTTGTCATATTATCTGTTTCCATCAATAATAACTGCAGGATATGAATTATTAATATAAATACTACAAAACCGTCTACAAGTAATACGTGTGAGGTTTATTAATAGGAATAATTTAATCACCTTAATCTGTAAAAATAAAAGTATGAATAGAATAAAAGAGAAATAACAATAAAAACAAAATATGGGTCAAGGGCTTATGGATTAATGCAAATTATGGCAGCAATATGTGAGCAGCATACATACGTATGAAATGCATTGCTCAATTCTGGTTTTGTTTTATGCATTTTCCAGCAACACCAATAGGCTACAAAGTTTTATTTTGTTTGTTTTTTCATTCAACTCGTTTCTCCCGATTGTGCAATATTGTGCCTCATTTTACAGTTTAATGAATTTACATGCTAAACACTTATAACATTTTTTAATTTAAAGTTTTGTTGAATTGAGTTTTGTAAATGGTTATGAATTTTTTTTAAAATCTTTTGACTTTTAGTTCTATCACTTATAACTATAGAATGTTTGAAACGATTCATGAAGCATCCAGAAAATAAAACCGTATTTATTAATTTTCAATACTCATTGTTATAAGAGCATACTTCAAAGAAGTATGCTTATACGTACATTTCATTACAATTTTATATACAAATTTAGTATTTCATGATATCATAAATTCAGAAGAATAATATAGATATATCTTAATTATAATAAATTATCAATAACTTATTGCTTGTAAATTCTTCAGTTAGTATTCCTTATTACATCGATAAATGTAAATGAACATTAATATAATTTCATTTAATTTACTTTTCATATATATATACATTTACAAGATGGCATGAAATGACCAAATATATGCATTCCAATGCAAGTTTCATCATCATCTGCGCCAACAGCAACAGATATGTACATATATACAAGTATTATATATTGAAAAAAGATGAATCGACAATCAAGGAGACATCAAAGACATTGATAACAAATTATTTTAACATCACCGGTAATAACGTTTATAAAGGAAGACGGGTTAAAAAACTGCTACAGAAAAAGTAACTCAAACACGTTATTGTTGCCTTCCAGTTACTACGCGAGCTATTAAAATAAATTATTTTTTTGGGATGCTTGATGTACTTCCAGAGGAGTGAGAGAAGAAGGAAAAAAAAACTCGCTTCACAATTGCAAGCTATTGCTTCCACTTTCCATAGCATGATTGCATTCTCTCTTTTTGTGTCTCTTTTTTTGTATATTCATTGAATTAATTATGGGGTTTCGATATTTGGGTCAAATTTAACAATTTTATGAGAGCTTCGATCAGATTCGTCAATTTATAGTATTTCTTTGCACAAATTTTAGCCAAATTAATTTTCTTACGTTTGCTGTTTTGCTTAATTCTTATATTACAAGATTTTAAAATAAAAAATTAACCAACCTGATGACGTCATATAATTTTAAAACAAATAATTTTAAAGGAACATTGTTTCAATTATTCATCAAAAGTTGTTGTGTTCAAAAGATATTCAAAGAAAATAATATTTAGCAAATTCCATATTTAGCGTGTTCATTTATGCTGAAATTGACAATAATGGTATACTTTTAAATTTTACGTCCTTCTTTCGAAATTGCTCTGAAATTTTAAAGTGCATTTACTCGATGAAAATCTTTCATTAATGGTGATTATTATGAAAAGATATGTTAAATGAAATGCTCATCAAAATTCATCCTGTTTCTCGGTGCTTGATGCAAAACTGCTATTTTATTAATAAGATCAAACATTATGAGAAAGTCTTAAAAACTATGTGTACGAGGCTCAAGGCTATAACTGGGAGTAGGAGGGGACCAAGTCCCCAAAATTGTTATTTCTTAACCTCTTTGACATTTGGTGATGAAAATGCCCAGTTTGTCTGTTTGCTTCTAAATAAATAAGGAGAAGGCGTCAAGCATGCTTATCATTTAATTTCAATTAAATTAGCATGAATAATAATCATTTCTTAAAATCCTAAGAGGAAAATTTATGCCAGTTTCGTGATCATAATTTTAACTCGGTTAGGACAATAAAAATGATTTTTGGGTGTAATCAGTAATATATACCATTCCTTATGTATTAAATCACCACTTAATTGACCTTTGAGCTTCGATCGCTGAATTCCGACTTACTCGAATTATCGTTTTGAATGAAACATCAATTTAAGAAAATTACTCGACTATTATGGTAAATTGTCTGCATCAGTTGCAGTATCACTAAAAGTAATGTAAGAAGAACCAACAATAACAAGAGATTGAGAATGAAGTATTTTAAGTAAGAAAAAAAACGCAAACTAAACAAATGGTTAATCAGCTACTTTAGGATAATGATGATGATGATGATTACATTGTAAGCACTTCAATGTCATTCCCGCGCGCTTTATTGATGCGTTTGTTGGGTGAAATGATGAGGTCACGAATTGGTAATCTTAAGTATCATCTCACACCATTTTATTCTGCATGCCTTTTAATGCTTCAAGTCAAGAAGCCAAGTGGGTGGCAAAACAAATTTTTATTTCTCTTTCACGCTTACGTATTCCTTTTTATATAGCCGAGAGAGTTTAGTTTTATACATCAATCAACAAATTGTTTTAAACGATCTGTTG